GAGAAGTCGGAACCGGACCGAACTTTTTCGTTTTGAGAATTCCGGTTCCAATGTTTTTTTGAAACACGCGCGAAATCAGCCGGTTATATCCGGAAACCGTGGCCACCCGCATAAGGGGTGTGGGCCGGTTCCGGAACCGTGGCCACCCCTAGGGGTGTGGCCGCCAAATAAAATTAAAACAAAAAAAAAATCAATTTTCAATGTAAAAAATTTTTGAAAAAAATTCTTTTAGTTTTGTCCCTATAATTATGTAAAAATTATTTTTTAACCCCTAACTACTTGGGCTGGACAGATACTGATTAATAGGATATTTAAAATCCTAATAAATGAGTTTTGAGTAGGATTATATTAGTATTCTAATAGTCACTATAAATTATAGATATATAACACCAATACGCTCTGCGTATGGATTCACTCACATACCACGCAAATGTAAATAAGATACATAGGACAACTAGTATGAATTAAAATACTACTTTTATTATTATTATTCATTATTATTCAAAATTTCTGACTATTTTTATTTTATTAAAATACTGTATGGATTCACTCACATACCACGCAAATGTAAATAAGATACATAGGACAACTAGTATGAATTAAAATACTACTTTTATTATTATTATTCATTATTATTCAAAATTTCTGACTATTTTTATTTTATTAAAATACTACTCCTCCAGTCTATTTAGATAGATAGGAAAACTTTTCATTTTGGGTATTCTATTTAGAAAGGAAAAATTACCTGATTTAGTAACTTTGGAAACAATGCCAATTTCAAAAGCCTGCTTTACCCTTATTTAGTTAATATAAAAAACCTTTAATAATGGGAGAATAACAAGGTAGTGGCCGACAATGATTTGTAAGTGCATTTAATGGGTTTATTTTACCAAAAGTCATTCCTTAATGAATAAACGTGTACATTTTTGTAAAATGTGCACTAAAATGAATGAGATAATACTTTTGAATAGAAAATAATCAATGTTCCTTTTTATACAAAATCTTGAACGCTGAATTCACAGAAATTGAGAAAATGTTTGCAACGTGTTGAATACTGTGTGCATTTTGCACACCCTTTTTCAGGTCAGCAAATAAAATCTTAAGAACTTGATTTTTAACTCCTTGACTCATGTTTTTACATTTGTTTCCTTTTCTTATTGATTCTATAACATTGTTTGAAGTAACTTTTAAATGTTATTGTAGCGTTATATAAAAAATTACCCCCTATAACATTTAGTTATTAACATTTTATGAAAAGATACTCAAACAACTACCAGCTACTCAAATAATAATGCTACTAAAATAGCTAACAGTTATCAAAATAATTAATTTTATCGAATAGACATGAATAGACTCCTTGACTCAATTTTCAAGTCTCAAGTAACTAACTTATTTGGCAAGAGAAGAAAGAGAGGAGAAAGAAAATTTGGAGGAGTGGGCCTATAGACAATTCCCATTCCATCAATAAATGTTTTGCAATTCTATATTGCTTCTTATGGGTTGGGCTACCCTTATTTGGTTTTAGTTTTTATCTGAAAATTATAATTGTGTTAAGTCTATTTAAATTGATTTTTTTTTTCAAAATGGTGTTATGCAAAAATTTTTTTCAAAAAACGATATTCTGTGAAAAATATTTAACAGAATGGTGTTTTGTTGACATGTTAAGGACTTCTGTTTCAGCAAATGCATTATTATATGATGACTGCAACAAAAGCAATAAATTTTAATTCGTTTTAACGATGTTTAGCAGCTTTACACTAATATTCTCTCTCCTCTCTCACTGAGTTGAGTGTTACACTATAAGCGAAACAATGTCACAATTTCAAAAGGAATATATTCTTTGACGAGATTCCCACACAAATGTTCAATTTTTACACTGTAAAGCAATTTCATATGTGCTACAGTTAACAATCAAAGACTTATTGCTATGTTACATAAGTGTAACAACCTACAACTATAAAACATATATTGTGTCATTGTTAGTGTAACAATATTTTTTGTTTACACAATTGACATGAACGATTTGATGCCATGAAAGAGATGTTTATGGATGAGACGATTTGGAATGCCAATGAAAAGAGATGTTTCATTATGGGAAAAGAAAATATTCTTATGTAGGCATAAGAGGTGTCCCATTCTCGAAACTAGCAATTGAAAATTTTTCTATACTTGTTCTATTTACAATATGTTTTTGTAAATGATGAGAGGCGTGGGAATCTCATCTATAAATTGTTACAGTTACAGTATAACAATTGAACATTTGTGTGGGAATTTCACTAACGAATGTATTCCTTCTGACATTGTGATATTGTTTCACTTATTTCACTTATAGTGTAACATTCAATAAGGAAATAGGAGAGAGAATATTGGTCTGTAAAATTGCCGGACTTAAAATAAATTAAAATTTATTTCTTTTGTTGTAGCCACAGTAACAATGCATTTGTTACACCATGACTGGAACAAAAGCCTTTGAAATGTTAACAAAACACCATTCTGATAAATATTTTTACAAAACATCATTTTCATAAATAGTCTTTTACATAACAACACTTTGGAAAAAGCCGATTTAAATTGCAGTATTTTTTGCCTAATGCAAATGGTAATATCTTTCCTTATAAATAGTAATTAATGGCAAAAAAAAAAATGAAATAGAGAAATTGAATTTGGTAAATGGATGACCCAGCCATTGGGCAATATGATGCTTTTTGAGAAATTTGATGTGTCTTTATTCCTTTATTTAGGCAGGTAGGCATGTCACCGGTTCATTTTGAATCAGAACCGAAACGTACTGTAGGTGAACCGAAAACAAACTGTATTGTAGGTGAATCGAAACCAAACCAAAACCGTCGGTTTAACGTTTTGAACCAAAATTGGCGGTTTAAGGATCCGTTAAGATTCATGTGAATGTTAAAATCTGAACCTGAACCGGCTATAAACTGTCGATCAACCGGCATTTCGATCCGGTTCGAACTGAAAATTTTCTATTTTTATTAACGTGAATGTTAAAATCTGAACCTGAACCGGCTATAAACTGTCGATCAACCGGCAGTTCGATCCGGTTCGAACTGAAAATTTTCTATTTTTATTTTCAAAATGATAATCACTTGGCCTATTTTATAAATCTCTATAAGTCTCAATAATATTTTACTACCTAATATACTTTACTTAAGATTTTTTTTTTAAAAAATGCACTTTACTTTAAAAGTTAAAAATCTAAAAAGTAAAATGGTTACAAAGGAGAGAAATATTTAGTCTAAACTTATATTGTTTTTAACTTTTTTTTTACCCTTCTAAATTGTTTACTAAGTTTAAAATCACATTCTTTTGAAGTATCTTTCAAAATTTTCTTATAATTTATTTAATTAATAACATTTAAAAATAAAGTGATAATTATTTGATTATTTTGTAAAAATTAATTAATTTTATTTCTTATATTGAGTATTGAGCATTCTAAAATTATTTAAAAAAATTTACCCCAATATTTTATAAACTCATATTTAATATTTTTTATATTAATATTTTTAAAAGAAAGATGTAACAGTAGAATCAATTTAAAAAAAAAAACATATATCGCCGGAAACCGTGATCGGAACCGCACCGGAACGGGACCAAAATCGGCGGTTTAAAGGCCGGTTCAAGTTCAACTTTTTAAAAATTTTGAACCGTCGGTTTTGCGAACCGGAACCGGCTGTTCAATAAACCGGTCATACTTAATTTTAGGCTTTAGGACCACTAATAGTTAATTGTGCTTTTTCCCCTCTTTGGACAAATGACAATCATTTTCCACTAGATTTATACAAACTGTTCACAGCAATTTTCTAGCACATGATCAAGCAATAAATTGCATGTTCTGTTGAAGATATTTATAATAAATTAATTATCACTTAGCATAATAAAAATAATGGTAGAGACTACGGTTGGATTTCTTCATAATTTTTAATATCCTAAAATTTGGAAATTAAATATAGAATATAGTTAGCTATAGCAATCAGCAGGAAAGACGGACCAAAAAAACAAACGCATTCAAAGAAACACCAGAATGTAGGTTCTATTCCTAAAGTGTCATGGGTGGGGAGGTAAGCTAAGAGGGTAGTTCATACTCAGGGGCCGCGCCATATTATACACAGTGGGTTGAATTGATCCCACTCAATTTTTAAAAAATATTTATAAAATAGAGTTAAATTGATAAAAAATATTTATAAAATAGAGTTAAATTGATAAAAAATATTAAAAATATATATTAAATGAAAAATTTTGAAAATTTTAATCAAATTGATACCATTAAAAATCAAATTAAATAAATGATACCACTGAAAAAATTTCTATCTCCTTCGCTGATCATACTCTTATTAATTTTAAAGTTTGGCATGATTTTTCAGCTCGTGTTAGACAATTGATTGTTATGGATTTACTTCTTAATAATATTTTTCTTCCCTTTCAAAAAAAAAAACGAGCACTAATAATAGAGCGAGTAATAGAACTCTGCGAGAAACATTCAAAGCCCCATTTTTACCATTAACGAGAACTTGCAAAAATACTTGTTGAAGAGAAAAGCTGCATATGAAAACGTATACATGATTTCTTTTCTTTTTTTTTAATACTATATTTATTTATATTTGGAAGATAATGACTATCAGGAAAATTTTTAATTATGCAGTAGGTATTTAAGCGCGGCAAACACGTGATCCTTATATTTTAGAAAAAACAAATTGTATTTTACCAAATTTTAAAAAATAATTTTTATAACTTTGATTAATTCTTTTAATTTTATTAATCAATACTTTTTTTTAACTAATCGTAATTTTTTTTTCAATAACAATCGTAATATAAGTGATGGTTAAAACTGACAAAGGGAGTTGGCGAAGGAGATTTACATTTTTGGAAAAGTCATGGAACATATTCGGTGATACCAAAATGTTACCCTCTAGCTAATTGTGTATATATAATCCTGGAGATGAAACTAATTCTAAATCTAAGATTGCAAATTGAAGAGAAGTAAAGGCATTCAATTGATCAAAAAATGGAAAGCATCTTTGAATCCCGTGGAGCAACAGGTTTGGCCACAGTTCTAGCCATTGGCACTGCAAATCCACCAAACTGTATTTACCAAGCAGACTATCCACACTTCTACTTCAAAATCACTCGAAGCGAGCACATGAAAGAATTGAAAGAAAAGTTCATACGTATCTGTAAGCATATATCAATCGCTGTATTAATTCATCAATTTTTCTAACTTAATATATAATCAATCAATCTTTCTCGTAGTCCTGATAACCTATTTGATTTCCTTGAGAATTTTAAATACAAGAAATGATTTATCTTTCCATATTTTTGGTAACAGGTCAAAAATCAGAGATAAAGAAACGTTATATGTACCTGACTGAAGACTGAAGACATTATCCAGAAGAACTCTAGCATAGCAACTTACAAGGCTCCATCTCTTGATGCACGTCAAAAAATTTTAGTTCATGAAGTTCCCAAGCTAGGTGAAGAAGCAGCTACGAAGGCTATACAAGAATGGGGCCAACCTATATCGAAGATTACACATCTTATATTTTGTACAGCTTCAGGTGTAAATATGCCTGGCGCAGATCTTGAGCTTGTCAAGCTTCTTGGACTTCAAAATTCTGTGAAAAAAAGATTCATGATGTATCAACAAGGTTGCTTTGCAGGAGCTGCAGCTCTTCGTCTTGCTAAAGATATTGCTGAAAATAATGTTGATTCACGAATTCTTATCGTCTGCTCCGAGAACATGACTGTGAGTTTTCATGCCCCTTCAGATACCCATTTGGATATTCTTGTTGGCTCTGCAATTTTTGGCGATGGAGCTGCAGCAATAATAGTTGGTATTTGGTTCTACCCCTTCCACTTCGGAGCGCCCGTTGTTCCATGTTTTGTCTGCATCTCATAAACTTATTCCGGACTCAGAAAATGGAATAGTAGGACACACTCGTGAAATGGGATTATCTTATTACTTGTCTTGTCTCGAAGTGTGCCTCAACTTATTGAAGATAATATTGTGCAATGCTTATCTGAAATTTTTGGAAGCAATAAAGATTGGAACTCAATATTTTATGTGGTTCACCCTGGTGGTCCAACCGTACTCAACGGGCTCGAACGGAAACTTAGTCTGACAAAACTGAGGCTTAGAGCAAGCCGTCACGTGTTGAATGTTAGGAATCAAGGCTCTGATACCTGATACCACTTGTTAGGATACCGGCAATAAAAATACGAGAATAATTAAGCAGCGAAAAAATAAAAATGGGACACACAGAAATTTACGTGGTTCACCCTCAACTGTTTAGGGCTACGTCCACGGGACCAACTCCGAATATTTTTCTTCCATTATTATAAAATAGTAGGCTTACAAATAGAGTAATACAAAATAGTGGCACTCACAAGTGTTTCCCAAAATACCCTAAGAATCTTCACTATTTTCTAAACCCGGAGTTTTAAGAACCCTCTTCTTAAAACTCAAACACTCTCTATTGATCTCTCGCTTATTGTTGGTGTCTATGCTGAATGCTCCTGCCTCTATTTATAGGCAAAGATTTGAGAGAGCCGTGCATTGCTCATGCATGGCTCTTCATTATTTTCAACTGGCATGCCAACCATTCAATGGTTGGTTGCCAACCTTTGATTTTTTTTTTTTTTTTTTTATCACGTGGTTTGGCACCGCCACTCCACTAGAAAAAAAATATATATGTGGGTCCCACTTGAGTGGGCACACCACCACTAACATTGAATGAATATGGAAATATGTGGGGTCCAAGTGTCTTCTTCATTCTTGATGAGGTGAGAAAAAAATCTGCAGTGGAAGGAAAGGCTACTACTGGAGAAGGATTGGATTTGGGTGTTCTGTTAGGATTTGGCCCTGGTCTAACTCTGGAGACTGTTGTATTGCGTAGTGTTGCTATTTATGGAACTGATTAAGCCACTACTAATTTATCATCCAATATGATGTAGTTAATTAGTAAAAACTACCGATTTTTATGTGTGTCAATTTTTGATTATCAAGACAAGAACATATTATTTAATCTGATTTAAAAAAATATTACAAGCAAGTTCGATATCTAATCTGATGTAAAAAATATTATAATCATTGGATGGTTTACCTTCGTCATTGACAATTTTTCATCATCCGTTTCCAACCAGAATTAAATGAATCAAACCGATTCATGTAAAAAATAAAAATCTATTTTATTTCCAAACCCAAAAAGATCTTGAAGAGGCAGTGCAAACTGCCTAGCTGAAGCACGGGAGGGGCCTAGGGAGCTTGGGTGCAAGACCCACCCGTTGTGTAGGGACGAATTCCATAACCCAGCTGTTGTAAGCACAACACATGACTTCACAAGTTGAAAATTCTAATTTTTGATATAACCAGAGGGTTTAATTCTCTCGCGCTATAAAGCGTAAAGATTTCTGGTCTTTTCAATAAAGTGCATTTTTCGAAAATTAAATTTGTATTTTCATCCTTATTGAAAATTGATGTTGCTTACCACCTCAACCAATACCTCCTCAATTCCTTTTTGATTCTTTCTTTTCCACCAGGACTTCGAACTCACATAAATATATATTCCTTAAGCATAATTTGTGAAAAAATATTATTATTGTTCTCCTTTGCCGTCGGAACAATTGATTCTACCATGTTAAAGAATCATGTTGACTAAATATTAAATTCACAAAGAGCATACGAAGGTGATAACTAAGGAGTGTTTAGTTCCATTTTTTCATGCTGTGGATGTCTGATTAGGCCCAACAACAAGTGGATTAAAAATGTTTGGTAAGGATTTTGGCCCAACAACGTATTAGAACTATTTGGTAAGATTCTAATTGGCGGCTATAGCTACTAGAACTCTCAATCCACCGTTGATTCCATTAGTTAGATTAGGGGTGGCCACGGTTCCGGAACCGGCGGTTCCGGTTCCAGAACCGGCGGTTCCGGTTCCAAAAAAATTGGAACCGGAATCAAACCGAAAAAGTCCGGTTCCGGTTCCGGTTCGGTTCCGGTTCCGGTTTGGAACCGGACTGTTCGCGTTCCGGTTCCGCGTTCCGGTTCACGGGTGATAAAAACGACGGTTGCTCCGAATCGATTTTCCGGCGAATCACATTGATTTAAAATTTTAAATTTTGAAGACCGGTTTTCAAAAATTTAATAAATTTGTGAAAGTTATTTGTTTTAGTTTAAAAAAAAATAACCTAAAAAATGTAAAAAAAATACACCTAAAAAATTAAAAAATTCTACAATTAAATTTATTTTTTTAAAGACTTGAATATAATTATTTTTTACAAAAAAATTCTTCCACTGAAATTATTTTTTGTTTAAAAAAGTTTGAATATAATTTAAAAAAATATTGTAGAGAGAGTAAGTAGAGAGAGTAGAGATTTTTTTATAATGAATTTGTAAATGAAATGAGGTATTTATAATAAATTCAAAAAATTAATTTTTCAAAAATACCCTTGAAACTAGCCGTTATATAGCCGTTTATAGCTATTGGGAGGAATAATTAATAGATTTCACAATAAAATAAACACAACGAATTTCAACCAATACATGTACTAAGAGAATATGTATTTTATTTTTTTATCATTTTTCTGTTGTCCCTCTGTAGGGTGTAGCGTTAGGTTTATTTAATTTATTGCTGTCTAGGTTGGTGGACAGGCAGTGGGGGTCTGGGTTTCTTTTGCTCTAAAAAGGACGCTTTTTTTTTTTTTTTTTTTTTTTTGGTTGTGCAGGGTTTATTAAGGACAACTCCGGTGCGAACCAGGGGTTCTACCGGCGGAGAACGCGGCTTCCAACCGGTTACCGACCGGTTTTTCTGAACCGACGGTTCTGGCGGTTTTCTGGAACCGCCGGTTCTGGTTCCAGAAAATCTGGAACCGGAACCAAACCGGAATATTCCGGTTCCGGTTCCGGTTCTGGTTCCGGACCGGTTCGAACCGGCGGTTCCGGTTCCAGGAACCGTGATTTGGCCAAGCCTAAGTTAGATGTATGAGCTTTTTGCGAACTGCTATTAGTATTTTATATAAATAGATTAAAATATATATTTTTTCTTTTAAGATTAATATATTTTCTTTGCCCATCGATAATACAAGAAGATTAAAAGAAGACCATAGCGTAACCTATCATCAGGTAATTTTTTCTACTCTTTTTGTTATTTTATTGATTGACATATATTAACCGTGTTATATTGTGTTTTTATTAGATAAATATATGTTTATTAATATTAAGATACATAATATGCTCATACATTTTATTAATTAAGATACTAAGTTTAATTAATTTTTCATTTTTATTTTTTTTAATTTTTAATTCATTAGAAATGAATTAGAAATATTTTATATTTAAACTTTAAATTATCGAAAAGATACTCTTATCGATCATTTTACATATTAATAGTAATAACTGATTACAACTTTACCAAACATCCATAGTTTATGTGCTATCAGCTATCAGCAATAGCTATTCGTTATTAACTATCAGCAATCGCTATCAGTTGTCTGAAACTGCTGAATCAAATAGGCCCTAAATATCATATTCATAAGATATATAAAAATGGCAAATTAGCTAGCTAATTGATTAATATTAACATTTTATCCGCAATTCAGGAGTTTTAAGCAATGCTCATCGCTGGCCCACTGCAAGATTCATTAGTTTAACAAATTGTAAATACCATATAATTAATTAATTAATTCGAACTTAAATAAAATAATCACCTTCATGAAAATTGCATCTCGCTTTGGAACAATCCTGAACATATCTCCTCCAACATGCTTCACTTCTACCATAAAAAGCATAAATAAATAGCATTTCTATATGTTCAAATACGTTGCCATATAGGTATTGGAAAAATTCAATCACTAAAAATTCAATCAATAGATAAACTACGTCAGCAACAACCCACAATCTAACGTGATAGCTTGAAATAGGAACAAATAAAATAATTATTCTCATTTAATAATTAATTCAAATTTAAATGTAATATGTATTAAATATATTTTTATTATTATTATCGTTATTATTATTCATACAATTGCGCTAGAGGAATTTATTGTTAATTATCTATTATACGTAATAGACAAGACAGGCCATGGCCATGGGACTGTGGTCCCCAAATAAAATTTAAAAAATAATAATAAATTTTCAATGTAAAAAATTTTTGGAAAAAATTTATTTTAGTTTTGTCCCCATAATTATGTAAAATTATGGTTTTACCCCTAACTATTTGGGCCGGACCGGTACGGATTAATAGGATATATAAAATCCTAATGAATGAGTTTTGAGTAGGATTATATTAGTATTCTAATAGTCACTATAAATTATAGATATATAACACTTATACTCTCAGCGTATGGATTCACTCATATACTACTTAAATGTAAATAAAATACATAGAACAACTAGTATGAATTGTTATTATTCAAAATTTTTGGCTATTTTTATTTTATTAAAAATACTACTCCTCCGTTCTATTTAGATAGATAGGAAAACTTTTCATTTTGGGTGTTCTATTTAGAAAGGAAAAATTAACTCAATTTATAAATTTGGAAACAATGCCAATTTGAAAAGACTACTTTACCCTTATTTAGTTAATGAAAAAAACCTTTAATAATGGGAAAATAATAAGGTAGTGATAGACAAAGACTTGTAAGCGCAATTAATGAGGTTGTTTTATCAAAAATCATTTCTTGATGAATAAATGTGCACATTTTTGTATATTTTAATTACTCCACTCAATTTAAATGGTTAAAAATTCACTTTGTATATTTTAATTACAGCTTATCCATTGTGTAAAACTAGACCAACTATTCTAGTTTGATTTTTAAATGTGTATGGCCAGTTAAGTCCTTCATGTCACTAAAAATAATAGTAAAATGGCTTCAAATGAATAAATAAAATTTTAAGGACTCAAATAGTTAAAAGTTACAAACTCCAGCGCTTGTAAATATATTTTGCCTAAATTTAATGGATAACACTTGCATCTAATGCGCAAATGGACTAATTTAATGAGATTAAACTATTAAAAATACCTAAAACTTTGCTTCTTTTGCACTCTAAATCTAACTTAACCCCTTAAATATTCCAATTGCAACTTTTTATCATAATTATACCCTAATTTGAAATTAGCCAAAATTAGTGAATAAAATATATTAAACAAGGATTCCATAGCTCATACTTGAGTTAACTAACCAAATGAATGAGTTGATTATACTATATAAAATACCCTAAAGTTTGGCGGTTATAATAATTGCACTCCAAAAAGAATTTAATTCCTTAGATACTCCAATTTTTAATTTTTTATTACAACTGCATCTCAAATTCAAATTATAAAAATGACCTACCATACCCCTAAAGTTATAAAAATCAATAACTTTGCACAGCTCACATGACAATCCTAGAACAACTAAAAGAGCTTGTATACACGCTCATCAAACGCAATCGTCTTTTCTTTATTCTTCATCTCCTTCTTTCTGTCTCTCTCCTCTTTTTCTCTTTAGCTATCCCTAATGAATCCACATGGTCAAGGATTCATGCAACACCAGATCAAGATGGAGAAGGACTCATATAAGGGCATTTTTATACAAGTCACAATTGATTGATAAAATAAGATGATTTAAAGTCCAGCAACAATTTATTATTTTCTATCAATCCGTGTTTGTTTTATTTCTATTTTCTTAATTTTTTTCTGATTTTTCCATCTACTTCCCATCTCTTGAATCATTTTATGACTATATTTTTGAATCAAGGATAGTTTTTCTTCGATCTGGGGAAAATTTTTTTATTTAATTTTGTTATTTGTAAAATATTAATATATGAATTTTTTTTTTAATGATTTTGGAAGAAAGGTGGACAAAAAAAAATCCTACATTATTGTTTTAACTTTTTTAGTGCAACTGTAGTTATAAGAAGCTTCATCTTCTTCCTACGATTTTCTGCAATTGAAGCATAGTGCTATGGCTTTTGATTAAATAATTTATTTTTTCAATGAAAACTTGTCAATTTAGAGAAATTTTTCAGCTGTAATGTCAATTTTCATATTATGATTGAATGAATAGTAAATCAATTAGCGTTTTGTATTTGGATGCACTTATTTAATTTGAAATTGAAGACTTCATACTCTTGATTTATTTGGAAGTTTTAGTAAAAGGGAATGAAGTTGCAGAGAACACTGAAAGATATGCTGTTGGGGGGTGGGTTGGAAAAGGAAAGGATGTTAAAGTACAAAAAAAAAAAAAAAAATTTTTTTTTTTTTTTTTTTTTTTTTTTTTTTTTTTTTTATGCTTCACGCTCTTTAGGAAAGTGATTTTTATGTTGGGCTTTAAAGTGTTTAAATAGGACAAATTTGATAATTACTCGAACATAGTAGTCCCCAGGAAAGTTAATGGCACCGTAAGATTTTTCATTGAAAATTTAGGAGATAATCTACGTATTTAGCCAAAAAAAAAAGACTACGTATATTATGTAGCCTACGATGTTATTCCGGCCCATTACACCTCTCAAATGTAAAAGAAAAATCTTTCGTTGAAAGAAACAAAAATAATTTAATACTGCTATTAAATGAAAATGCCTTTCATGATTGAATCAATTGATGAGAAATACATTGCATAGCATCATTTGATGAAAGAATGCGCATGTGGTGCAAGACGTTACAAAATGTCAGAGCAAACTTTTTTAACGTAATATAGGAGAAACCGATCTTGATGATAGGAGAAACCGATCTTGATGACCCTAATCTTGAGACTATTCTCTAAATGGAAATGGTTGGTTATTGATCAATCTTGATGGCAATAAAATCGAACGGACCATATTTGTCTAGATCGGGTTTGAATTTGATTCTTGACAAATGACATAATTAATATCTTTGTTTGTTGTTTAACATTTTTTTATTATTTTTTTCAAATTCATAATTAATAAGACAAATTCAAACACTTACGAAGAAATTTTTTTATAATTTAAAATAAGTAAATTAATTAATTGTTTATCTAATTAAATAATACAAAAATAAGTTCTAAAACTCATAGAAGTAATTGCTTTCTAGTTTAAAATTAATTATTTACTTAGTTGTTTATTTAATTAAATAATAAAAAATAATTTCTGATAATTATATATTTAATATAATTGTATAATAATTCATAATAAATAAGACATAAATCCAAAAAAAAAAACAAATTAATTGTTTTATAATTTAAAATTATGTATTCACTTATTTGTTTATTTCATCGAATAACATAGAAATAAATTTTAAAAATTACATTTTAATATAATTGTTTATATAAATATCGAAACACAATTCCCACCCTCCTTCAACCTTCTCTCCATCTCTTTCTCTCTTTAAGTGGTTAGGGAGAAAAGAAAGGAATTAGATGGTGGCCAATGCCTAGAATTTCGTTTTTAGATATAATTATAAAAGGCCAAATACATAAACTTGCAACTCAACTTTCAAAAACACAATCCTACGATACTCTCAACTTCGTTGGGGACCAATTATGCACTTTAAGTTGATTTTTTTGCATAAATCTTGCATCTTTCCATGATGGCAGAGGAGAGTGTAGATACAATCGCCCATTGGAGCGTTAATTAAACTTATGAAAGCTAACGTGGAAATTATCGTTACCTTTTTTATCTTCTGTTGGACAACCATACCTGCAGAACCTCCTCCAACCACATTTTGACCGAACTTCCTACTTCCCTCTATCCAATAACCACCACAGTTCTTAGAACCTCCTCCAACCACATTTTGACCGAACTTCCTACTTCCCTCTATCCAATAACCACCACAGTTCTTAATTCAAGTTCCATTGTCTGTACTTCTGCCCCAAAAGTGCAACTGCCTAAAGTGGCAATAGGACTCCAAATACCATGTGTATTGTTAGGCCCATCAAACTCTCAGGTAGAAAATTCTATTTCGATATGTTCAAATACGTTGCCATATGGATATTGGAAAAATTCAATCAATGAGAGAAATTTAAGGTTGGATTTTATTGATTGTTATGCATGGATAAACTACGTCAGCAACAACCGACAATCTAACGTAATAGCTTGAAATAGGAACAAAAACAATCAAGTCTTCCAAACAAGTTGAAATAGGAAAAAATAAAATAATTATTCTCATTTAATAATTAATTCAACTTTAAATGTTCTCATTTAATAATTAATTCAAATTTAAATGTAATATGTATTAAATATATTATTATTATTATTATTATCATTATTATTATTCATACAATTGCTCTAGAGGAATTATTCTTTGTCAATAGGGTATAAATTTCTAAATGGGAAATTCAAATTTAGCAAAAATTTTGCTTGCTTAACGCGTGAAACATTCCAAAACAAATTCAAATTTTCATTTTGAGTTATGAATGGATAAAGTGACACCAAATCACTTCTTGAATGATGCAATCTGAAATTAATGCATTTAGTTTCTCTCTCAATTATGTGTGGCTTTACAGAGAGTTAATGTTATGTCGGGGGTAATATTTAACAGCCAAAAATTATACTTTAACTGTCACATTAATCTTTGTGCAAATTCAACTTTTTCCATCTAAAGAGAACGGAGGGAATATAATTTAATACTTATTTTTATTATTTGCTACACTATCAGTATAGTAAAGTTTCATTATTGTAATTTTTATTTTAATAAATTTTACTAACCTCAGTTTATTTTAATTCTCAATTGTGATTTTTAAATATATGTTTAATTAAATTGAATCGGATTCCTATCCAATCCCCAGCTGTGTTCGACTATAACTTTTTAAGTAGTTTTTAGCAGTTTGGCTAAATGCTATTTTTTTTTTATAATACTCGATAACCTAGTGTTTGAACAAGCTTTTATATGTTAATGTAGCGTTTTACAAAAGGTTACTCCTGTAACATTTAGCTCTTAGCATTTTATAAAAAGATATTCAAACAACTACTAGTTACTCAAACAATTATGCTACTAAAATAGTTAATAGTTATCAAAACAACTAATTTTACTGAATAGACCTGAATAAACCCCTCGACTCAATTTTTAAGTCTCAGCTAACTTATTTGGCAAGAAAAGAAACGGAGGAGAAAGCAAATTTGGAGGATTGGGCCTATAGACAATTCCCCTTTCCATCAATAAATGCTTTAGAATTGTATATTGCCACTTATGGGTTGGGCTACCCTTATTGGGCTTTAGTTTGTATTTGAAAATTGTAATTGTATTAAGTCTATTTAAATTGGATTTTTTTTTTCAAAATGATGTTATGCAAAAAACTATTTCTAAAAACGGTATTCTACGAAAAATATTTATCAAAATGATGTTCTGTTGACATTTTAAGGACTTTTGTTTCAGTTATAGTGTAATAAATGCCTTGTTATTTACAAAATTTACAAAACTATTTCTCTCTCTCTTTCTCTTTATTTTTATTTTTTTTCTCTCTCCTCTCTTTTATGACAGAAAACATATTCACAAATCAATTGATGTTAGGCTCTCCTCCATGGAGTTGATTTCACTCGTGATATCAAAACATCCTTAATTGTGCATCTATTTCAATTTGTAAAAAAAAAAAAATCAATTATTATTGAAAATTATTTATCTAGACCGTATTTATAGCCACGTTTTATAAACTAAATCAATAACAGTAAAAATTTTTAAAAAAATGTCCCGAATTTATCCTTTTTTTTCTAATGTATAATTAGAAATACTCTCATTTTAATAAAAAAAAAAAAAACTCTATTTTTATTGATTTAGTTCATGAATGAGCCATAGACCTGTCTACATAAAGAGAACTCGTGACATAACTATTCTCATTATTATTTGTGTAACAGTACAAAACTTTTATCGTTTTTAATTGATTTCTTATCAGCGGAATGGCACATGAAATAACTCGTGGATCTTTTTATTTAAGTTAAATTAAAACAATAAAAAAATGTATTTTCTCTCTTGTTTTTTTCATTTGCTCTATAGTTGCATTTCCACCTAACACTTCTAATCTTCCGTATATAGGTTAAAGGTTCTTGAGAGAGAGTTTCATCATCATCTTCACAGTGTTATTCTTTTAAGTAATATTAATTAGTTCCTAATTTTTATAGGCTTTAAGAGCAACTACACCTAGAAGGCTTTAAGATCAAAGATATGGCGTTGTTGACACATGAGGAAAACTCTGTTATATTTGGTGTCTTGGGTAAAACTATAATTATGCATTTGAATTGTTTTGCAGCTCAATTATCAAGTTATTATCTAATGATTCCTAATTTCTGTTTCTGTCCATAGGTAACGTTATATCATTCATGGTGTTCTTGGCGCCAGTGTAAGAGCTTCGAATATTCAAGTTATTATACTAACTGATCTCTAACTTCTGTTTCTGTCCATAGGTATCAATTATCAAGTTATTATCTAATGATTCCTAATTTCTGTTTCTGTCCATAGGTAACGTTATATCATTCATGGTGTTCTTGGCGCCAGTGTAAGAGCTTCGAATAAACAAAATTAACATATCATCAATTTAATTAATTACTTTTCTGACATATTAAGTTAAATTTTCAGGCCAACCTTTCACAAAATTTATATTATGCTCCTCTGAACAAACATGCATTTCTCATAGTCGGTATCAATGCTTTTGGATGTGTCTTGGAAGTTGCTTACATTATATTCTACCTTATTTATGCACCCAAGAAGGAGAAGGTGATTAATAAATTAATTTCAACACTCTTCATAATAATTACTATATATTTTAAACTTGGAGAATTAAAAAATTGAGTGATGCTAAATAGATCAAATTAAAATTAACTCTATTCAGGAAACAACGACTGTCTCTTTCATGTTATACGGAAATTTAATAACAAATTACTTGTAGATGTTTACATTGAAGTTAATCCTTGTCTTCAACATTGGAGCTTTTGGGTTGATGATATTACTGACGATGTTACTGGTAAAGGGCTCCCAAAGAGTAAAGACTGTTGGGTGGACATGTGCAGCTTTTAGTGTTGCTGTATTTGCAGCTCCATTAAGCATAATGGTACTAAATTAATTACTCTAATTAAAAGAAAAATAATAATTAATTTTTGTAATACTCGAACTCATTAAAAAATTATTTTGCATTTTACAGATGCGAGTGATACGAACAAGAAAGCGTTGAATTTATGCCATTCCCATTATCTTTGTTCCTCACTCTCTCTGCTACAACTTGGTTCTTATATGGACTTTTTGTAAAGGATTTCTTTATTGCAGTCAGTGCTATAACAGTAAATTGAAAAAGAAAAATTCAATTTTTTAAAAATAATTTTCTCAATTTTAATCTTTTATGATTTTCCCATGTGTCAGCTACCAAATGTGCTGGGATTTCTATTTGGCATTGCTCAAATGGCATTGTATATGATATACAAAAATGCGAAAAAAGAGGATAAAGGAGCTACAGAGATCAAAATGAGTACAACTGAGAATTTTTGCCATGAAAATGAGCAGTGCAAGGAGATGAAGTCTGCTATGGTCATGAAATGTGAACACATTGAATCAAATGAGAGTAACGTGTGAATCACTTTTGTGAGCATGAAATGCACACATCTTTAGGTACCTTTGTAGTTTATATCTTTTATATTTTATGCATTTTAAGTGAATAAACTTGGATCTTGGTGCCGGTATAAGAAATTTTAGCCTTAAATGATTGGCTTGTCCAAACTAGGATGGGTATAAGTGGAGAACTTTATTATTTGGGTATAATTTTTTGAATAAGCTAAGTTTTTTTTTGGATTTAAAATAATAAAATAAATTTAATTTTGCTAATAAAAAAAAAAGGGCTAGTCCTGCTTAAAGCCTTCTACGTCTTTTTTTACAATTTGGGCTAGTCCTGCTTAAAGCCTTCTACGTCTTTTTTTACAATTTTTAGTTTCATATTGAGCATTTGATTGTCAAGTAATTAACAGTAAATCAATTTGTGAAATTAGAGGTTGTTTAAAGTATGAAATAATCGTTACTCTAATTCCTAAACTTGCAAATCCAATTGAGGTCCAAGATGTCAGGCCAATCTCTTTGGTGAACAGCCTATACAAATACAAGTTGCTTACAGAAGTTGTACAATTTCAGTGCGTAGATAGTTAAAAAAAGTTGATTTTTAGGAAAATTATTTATTGCTCTCAAGTTCGGGGTGCAAATTGAGTTTTATTCTTTAAATTTAAATTCTATTGATTAAAAATAAAATAAAAAATTACTTTTATTGTGCATTGCATCGTATTATTTCGGTCCATTAGACACTTCAATAAATAAAATAAATAAATAACTAACTAAAAAATAAGAAATCTTTAACAGCATACAACATAATTATAAATTTAATAAAGTGACAAATTTAATACAATCCATAATTGAGAAGTTTTATATTTATTAACATTTTAAAATTATAATATTTTAACTAACTTATCATATTAATATATACATAGTATATATGTGTTATATTATTATATATGGTTTATTTAATATATATATATCAATATTTGATTTGTATTGTTGCGCACCCCATTTCTAGTGGACTGGGACCGGACGGCACTTAGACCTGGGTGTGGCTTAAACCTCCTTGAACCCGTAGTAAGTTCTAATTTATTTAAATCTCACATTCTATTCCAATTAATTATGGATTTAGGCCCCATTACCTTATTATTACTATGCATCCAAAATACAGTGTCATATATTTAACATGGACTTTTATTATTTATTTTACAACCCAACTGGAATACAGTTGCGGAACCCTCACCTTTACATTTACATACGATAATTCTTCTATCATTAACAGTCTTCTTATAAGTATTTCAAGGCTCCATTCTATTCCTTTTCTTTTCTATTACCTGAAAAAAATAGGTAGGCAGGAGTTGAGCACCAAACTCATATGATGTAGGGTTAGCATAACCCTCTCTCACCCACACAATACATAGTGCAAAAAATATTCTTTATCTGGTCATCCGCATTAATTTATGGATCATTGCAGTTTATCACACAAATGACATACACAGCAATCACAATTATTATCCCTTCATTATAAATCATATCAGTGGAAAATTAGTTCAGTAGGGGTCACCTAAAACCGATGAGCGTCCTCCCACATGGCCCATCACTCTAATGTGCAACCAGGAAGCCAATCTCCCATCTGGCTGACCGGGTTATAATCTCAACAGATCACGACGGTCCTCTCATTATTTTTCCATTCTTTTTTCTTTCTCTCTTCTCTTTTTTTTTTATCACGACAGGCTTTTTTTTATACCGACAGGCGGCATCCCGGTCGTCTCCCTCAAATCTAGATCATCAGGCGCACACAACAGGAGGCCACCCTGCAGGCAACGATTAAATCTAGATCATCAGGTGCGCCCAAAGAGGCTACTCTGCGGTTTCCATATAATCAGAATTATCAGGTGCACATGGGGGCGCCGATCTCCTATTTACCGGCTAACAGAAATCAGAATCAGGATCCATATATCAGAATCAAAATCAGGATCCATATAACAGAATCAGTCTCACAAACCCGTGGTGACCCACTTCATCCCAATTCCACACAAACAAGGCACAGCAATATCACTGCAATATCACAAACAACAGGTAATAAGCTATAATTTAAACATCAACAAATTAAGTGCACGCCACAACATTGACATTCAAAACATATTCAATGCATCGCTAGCATTTAGCAGTGAATGCATGAATGCAAGGCGGATTGATACTAGTTATCTAACACTCTCATAGTTCTTTATTGTCTTTTAAAAGGACCTGCCTTTTTAGCCACATACTTCAACCTTTTTGTCCCTCGGCATTTTTGGTATTTTTATTAAACCTTTAAATAAACAAGAAAAAATTTCTAAATTAAGAATTTTTATTTAAAACTATATATTTCACATTTCTTTTTATTTTAGTTTTGAGTTACCACGTCATTTAAATTTCATTATTATATGTGCGTATGTTTGGGTTTTCCTCATTTATTTTCAAATTTTATTTTATTTCATAGATATTAAATACGCTCTGCGATTAATTTCGTTAGAAACGTTTTGATAGCTTATAAATACTGGTATTCATAATAATAATAATAATAATAATAATAATAATAATAATAATAATAATAATAATACGAGTGATAATATAATATTAATAACGATAATAATTTTAATCGTACTATCTTTTAAGAGTTTCCTTACTTAAGTGTTTTACCGAAATTTCGACGCATTTCCCTTATAATCTATACTAATCAATTTTATATTTTTCACATATCACCACACAGCCCATCCATCCGGCAATTCACATTAACCGATCTCGCCCATCATAACCATCACTTAATTAGTCATCCATCATACATAGGCACTTGATAATCCTATCACCAATTAATTTTTAATTTCCCTAATATCATTAATTATTTATCTATAACATACATTATAATTTCTCCTATTTATACTTCTTAAATTCCGAAAATTAACATATATAATTGTTAGCAAAAATTCTTATTTCAATGTCAATATTATAACTAATATTCATGAACTACATTTCATACTATTCAATTTAATTCACTTAAACACTCGATTAATTCGTTAATTAATTAATTCGAGATTTATTCAAAATTGGCAATTTAATTTCATAAATCTCCAATTTTAATAATTCAATTAAGCTTATATCCAATTAATTAATTAATTCAAGTTGTAAATTTTATACCGAAAAATGGACAATTAAGCCTTACAATGTACCGATGGAAAATCGGATTTGATTTTCGTGACCCGCGCGAAGAGGAGATCATTCTGCCTCTCAAAGTCCTCGCCGGAGTCTCGCCGGACCGCCGCCGTGCACGCTGCCGGAAAAGTTAAACCGCCCAGAAAATTGCAAGGTCACCACCACCCGACTCCAATTTTTGTGAGGAATCCAAATCTGCTATCAATTTGTTGAGCCAGCCGCATAGCCTGGAAAACGATATATCGGTCCAAGGAAATTTTCCTCAAAGGTCGACCACCACCCGACTTCCATTTGCAGGAAAATAATTATCTGCTTATCAATTTGTTTCAGTGGCTCGTTTGCCGGTATCGACTTCTCACACTCGCCTTAAGCCGGCCGCCATGGTGTGTTACATCAAATCTCACCCAAAGTCACAAATTAACGGTGAGGAGGAAAACTGTTCTCATAATGCGGAGGGAATGTTCGATTTGAGAACCTGCGTCACGTTCACCTTTGAGCCCGGTCGGAATCATGGTCGGAAAAGTCGCGGAAGATCGTAGACTGCAGGGCTGTCCTTTGCACAAGTCGATTCGTGTTGTGTATGGAGGCCTATTTGCGTGAGAGGTGGTGTCGGAAACAGACTAATTCAGCGTTCAGAGCGAGGTTGATTCGTCAGCCCTTTGTTCGTCGCTGCACACAAGTGGTCGGAGATAAGGGAAGCGGAGGAGGAGGAGGGGTTGTCGCACACGATGGAGCAAGGTAAAGAAGAAGAAAAGAAGATAGCAAAAGAAGATGAAGCTCTAATAGCTTTCATAGACCATTTAACCGTGTGTTCCCGAGTTCGAAGACCGCCTGGTTTTTGGTTCTTATTCTTTGATTTCGCGCCTTAGATTTTATCGGTTTGCGAGTTTTTTCCACGTTGGTTTTTGGGTTTATTGGAGAAGGAAGAAGAAGAAAAGAAGAAGAAAAGAAAAGAGAAGCCCAAAGCTTCTAGACCATTCCGGTTCGATTCGAACCGGTTTGGTCTAATTCCATGATTCGGCTTGGTTCTTACTCGGTTTGCAGTTTTTCCACTTGGTTTTTGGGTTATTCGTGTAGTTTTCGAAAAATCAATTTAATTCCCGAGTCCGGTTCGATTTATTTTAATTTTAATTTTTTAATTTTTTTTTTGATTCCGTAACATTTCCTCCATTTACTCAATAATAATAAAAATATTAATAGTAATGATTTTAATTTTAGAATAATTAATTTATATATATTTACAATAGATTAATCGCTGGATTAATTTATATATATTTACAATAGATTAATCGCTGGAGTTTCATATTAGTTCACAAAAATTTTAACTATTCTCGAATCGAAAATTCCGAAATTATATTTGGGCTTGGGCCCAACTCGCAAAACTATGGACTCAAATTAGAATTACTCGGTCTTTACAGCCCATACTATCAACAATTCGGATTTTTGATTTAATAAAAATTTCAAAAGTTTTGAAAATAAAAATTCGGGGTATTTCTTGTATGTATGTTTTATTTACTTTCAGGACCAAGATTATACATATATTTATACTTTCATTATCAAGGGTTTCGCTATCAAAAATTTCATTACTTTACTTTCGTTATTAAGGATTTCCAATTAAAAATATGCCGAACACTCGTTCATCACTCGAGGTATTATTATGGCAAGTTGGTGATGTATTAAGTTTAATTTTATTAATTTTAATTCTATATCAATATTATTCTATATCTATATCTTATCAATGATATTCATTATCAATCATAATTGAATTTTCAAATTTCATTTATACATAAAATAGTACAATCTTAAGTCTAGTCGTCTTCATGTATTTATACATAAAATATTATCAATTGTTTTATAATTTTTTATACTTTTTTAATTATTGTATTCAATTGTTTTTTTTACTAAGAATTAAATAAGTATAAACATCAATCTTTGTAAATGATAAAGAATTATAAATTAAATAACGAATACCTATAATAAGTGATGGAGCTAGATATTAAACTTAAGGCGCTAAAAAATTTTAAGAGTTGAGGAGGGAATTAAAAATATTTACTATTTTTAAAAGTGTGAAATAAAAAATTTTGGTTAGGGGGCGAGGACCACACCTGCCCATCCCTCCGTCGTTGCCTACAATGAGAAGTAATACGTACCAACTTTGTTAAATACCAGTAATTATAATAAGGTGAAATATGGCATTACATGTAGCGTCATGAGTTTGCATTCTTTGCATTCGTTGAATTATGTGAGGTTTTGTAAATTTTGAATTAGGTGAGATTGGATGCTAAAAGTTATGATGTTATTTTATTTTCTGATATGATTTTTTCAATATTTGAATCTATGTTTATATGATTTTATCTGCTTACAAATTTATGTTTCCAGTACATATTGCTCTTATTAAATTTGTTTTTATTAAAAAAGACGAACTTTTTCATTTAGATTCCAAATGGATGATGTCGTATAAAGTATTTCTCAACAGTCGATTCAATATTAAAGGATTGAAAAGAAAATAACCAGTGCAAAGGCACGAGCTTTCACTTAGTTACACTATATATTTGTGAGACACCAGTAGACTCATCCATTATTTAGAAAAAAAGCCACGTAATATTTTAATAGCAGCCAACGACTTGTAGTGAAAGTGCATTCAAAGTGGGTCATTATGCTTTATGAAATTCCATAACCCAGCTGTTGTAAGCACAACATACAACTTCACAACTGGAAAAACCAGACTTCATTGCTAAGGTCTCATAGTCCTTTTGGGTCCTCTCTTTACCACCAGGAGTTTGAGCAAACATGAACAGGTCTTGCTCAAAAACAATGTGAGAAGAAACAGCATTTTCCGGTGCCAAAGGAAGTATTGATTCCGCAACTATCACTTTGCCCTTACTTGGAAGTGCTTCGTAGCAGTTCTTGAGAAGTTTTAAGCAATACTCATCGCTCCAACCGTGTAGTATCCACTGCAATATATTTTTTGTTTTTAAAAATGAACAGACATTTTGTTTTTAAAAATGAACAGACATATATTTTTTTAATTTTAAATACAATGAAAGACAAACTTATTAATTGATTAATTACCTTCATGAAAATAGCATCTCCCTTTGGGACGCTCACAAACATGTCTCCCGCCACATGCTCCACCCCTGTGATTAAAATAGAAAAAGCTAGGTATATGTGCTAGTTTCAAGATTTTAGATGAGATAAAGAGGAGATAAAGAGCTGGTATTCTGGATTAAATGATAATCTGGGATTATATTTGCTGGTTAATAATTTGGTATTTGATAGTGCTTATGAAAATTAGAAATTTTTCTGTGTAGAGTTTCTCTTAGAAGGGTCATTCCTCCCCTTTTCTTCTTGTTTCTTGTTTTATTTATAAGCCAAACTTTCTACCCGTCATAACATGTTGCTGGAGGATATATATGGCGTTAATATTTCTAACCTCCAGATAAATCAGAACCAAAAGCAGATTCACATTTTCAGGAACTAGAACTTTTATCTAGGATGCAAAAAGTAAAAATGAAAATTTTAATTACCCGGGAAAGAAGGTGCATCAGCCAATACATTGGGCAAATCAAAATTTATGCCTTTGATGTGAGGATATTTGGAGGTGATGATACGGAGAGCATCTCCAATACCACCACCCACATCAACCAACACTTTGACACCATCAAATCCATCGTAAACTTCAATTATCTTCTTTACAAATAAGGTAGTGTGGTTTGACATTGCTTCATTGAATACCTGATTGAATCTCTGATCAGTTGCCTGGTATTCGAAGACTGTCATCCCATAGGTTTGAATTGTGAATGGAATCCCACCTTCTAGTATAGCTTCATTGAAGTGGTACCTAATAATAATGCTGACCATTATATCATACTAAAAAAATAAAGCAATAACCTTGCCAAAAAAAAAATAAAAGGAAAAAGAAAGAACCAGCTCTTCATGAAAACTTCATCGTGGTGCAACAAAAAGAGAGGAGATACAGAGCTTCCTTCATTTGAATCATTTTGAATCATTTCGAGTGAGGAACTTGCATATGGGTCTGGCAGAGTACAGTCTTTCACCTTGTCCATTCTCTTTGGTGCAGTTGAGTATGTCATAGCTTGCCAGGAGACGCAACATACGGTCGAGCAGAGCTGGTGCATCTGGGTTCTTTGTGGGTATTTGAGCAGCAATCTCAACCGGAGAGATCCCCAAGCCATTGCTTGCGGCGGTGGAGATGATGTCTATGATGTTAAGCTCAATAGCTGATTTTAATACCATCGGAAGAACTGCGGCATTCGCTAACCGGATGGCCAGCTTCCCTGTTTCCTGATCCTCTTCTTGATCTGGGTTATAATTAACAGGAAATTTAGAAGTAGGGTTAGTCATGTTTGCAGAAGATGGAGCTATATCCCGCCTCCACCAACTGTTTTATATTGTTTTATTGATTTATGACAAGCTCAGATGGAGGAGAGCCCAACATCAATCGATTTGTGAATTTGTGTTTGGGAAGGAGAGGAAAGAAAAGAATGGACTCATGGAGGAATGAAAACAACGAAAATATTAAAGGATTGTACTATTTATTTTCCGTCCTTATTTTCACTGTACGTTTGAATTGAAAGGAAAATAAGAGAGAGAAAAGGAAATGATATTGTTGCTAATTTATAATTTTATTCTTATTAATTATCAAATAATATATTAAGAATATCTTTTTGTCTTTTTTTTTTAAAAACATTTTCCACTCTTGTGTTTGGATAGAAGATAAGGTTGAGAAAAGAAGATGTATTATATTTTTTTTAAAAAAATTAAATTATTGAAGAAAAAAATTATTATAGATTTACCATTTTACCTTAATAAAAGAAATAATATTAAATTAATAGTGCAAATAAAAGAATGAAAAATTATACCATGAGTGTCATAAATATATGCAATGCTGCCAATGCATATAACTTATTTATATTTATTTATAAACATTATCAAATCTTAAACAGTTAGCATCAAAAGAGCATTAAAATAATGATAAGCCGTGAAGAAAATGAAGTTTAGTTGGGGTAGTTTTGTGATTCAGTTCAGAACAGTGACATTTTCACTCATGTGCACTTTCTTTTCGATTTGGAGAGATTGTGTTGAGGTTGGGCCGGAGAGAATTTGGTGGTTATTTTCTTTCCACCGTAATTTTCCTTCTTGCTCCCGAACACAGTAAAATAGCTTTTCTTGGTTATTTTCCTCCAATATTTTCTTTCCATCCAAATTTTCCTCTCTTCCGAACAAAACATTTGGGTTTCTGTCATAGAAAGAAAAAAAAAAGAGAGAGAGAACGACAGATTGAAAGGGAGGAACTACCATAAATAATTTAGTATATTTTAATTGTGTTATGGTCCCTCCGGCATGCGAGACCCACACACTTTTGGAAAAAAAAAAAAGGAAAACATGTGCTTTAAAAAGAAAAAAAAGGAAAACAAAATAGAGAGCTGTGAATGAGTTATACACGGGTCATTCACTAATCTCTCCTATAAATAGAGGTAGCGAAGCCTCAAGCAAAGCACACAGCATAAAGAAAAAAAAAATATAGAGAGAGAGTTATCTAGTTTTAGGAAGGGTTTTCTAGGAGGAAAAAAATGTGAGAAAATTAGTTATGGGGTGTTTATTGAGAGTGTTTTTGAGAAACACTTTGAGTGCCACTGTTTTTGTATTACTCTCTTTGTGTACCTACTATTTTTTTAATAGTGGAAGAATTATTCGGAGTTTGTCCCGTAGACGTATCCCTAAATAGTTGAGGGTGAACCACGTAAATTTCTGTGTCTTATTTTTATTTTTTCGCTGCGTTAATTTTCTCTTAATTAATTAAAAGGACCAAATAAATGGTATCAGAGCTTATGCCCGACAAATTGATTGATTAAACAAAAGTTGCAAAGAAAGATATGTTCAGTGGAACGAATCTTCCAAAATACGATGGTAAAATATTGTTAAAAAGTACAGAGAAGAGCCCACTTAAAATTCACGTAAAAAGGTGTATAATTGGTATACTGTTGGGATGTATTAAAAATCACGAAGTATATGAAAGTAATTGCAGTAAGCTGGTGAGTTGCAAAATTGATATGGCTTCAACAAAGCTGCAATGAAAGTTGCCCCAACACATTCTATACATAGATTAAGCTTTGCCTACACGGTATAGGTAAGTCTTTCCCACGTGCTGAGGTATATGATATCACCGACTCATCTAAGCAAACAACTTAGGAAGAGCAAATGAGCAAATTACAATCACATATAAAAAGAAAGTAAAAGTAGCAATTAAGTCCTTTACAAATATCAATTAAGCATCCAAAAACATTCTAATAACAATTGCGTCCTAACGGCTACCCCTCTTTGAAGTTGAACTTGTCCTAAACTTGGAAATCTAGAAATTGTTTTTGATGAAAGAACGACAGAAAAGAAGTGTGACTAGATCTAGTTATCCTAATTTGGACCATGAATTTACGTTTAATTTTTTGAAAATTAGTAGTAATATTTTTTCTTCAACATAAATATTAAGTTAAGGATAAATGCATAAATTCGTTCATGTAGTCTATGTAAAAATCTTGTGGTACTGGAGCTATTTCTTTCAGACTTCTTTTGAGTTAGAATAATACTACACCGGTTCCTGAATGCTTGTCACATTCGAGAAAATACTACGTTTTAAAATACTTGTCACATTTGTGATTTCAAAGAATAATAAATCATTTTTTCATGTTTACCCTTTGTATATGATCGATAATCATTGCTTTAATTCTTTAAAAATTTGATGTTTGGATATATTAAATTAAGGGTAATTTAGTCAATTTACTCAATAATTTATTATAATTGAAACAAATTTAATGGTTTTCTTAAGCTACGTGAAATTCCGAATGTAACAAGTATTTAGGAAAGAAGGTAGTATAAAGTCTTACAAAAATATAAAATTGAGATAATAGAAGAAGAAGAGAGAAAAATTGAATAACTGAAATACATTGAAAATTAGTAAGACATGGAAAACACCATAGATTTTTCTACTATCGAGAGAAAAAATTAATGAGGGTAAAGTTGTCAAAATAGCTAATTGTATTATTATTTTATAATTAAATGTTAAAAGTGGAAAGTACAATTATATCTCTATTTGTGCCAAATCAATTGGAGCTATTTAGCATGATCCTTAAATTGATATACTCAAATTAAAATCAGATTAAGTTACAATTAATTAAGTCTAAGATTTAATATGGATTTTATTAATTTTATTTGATTTTGGATTTTGTACATAAAATTAAATTAAATTAATATACTAAATATTAAGTTAAAATTGATTAAGTTCACTTTTTAATATGAACTTTATGCTATGTGATTTTATGTCACATCTCCTTTCACTTAGTTAATGGCCGAATGTATAATCTCACCCCTTAACTATTTTACTTTAACCATTTGCCATCCTGAGATTTGCGAAAACCTATTAAACACTTTAACTTATATTTTTTGTAACTATTATACTATTTGATACACCGTAAAAAAATTGTGTGAACTCAAATGCAGATGAAAGCATAAACCCTTAAATTTTGTCCAGTATGGTGAAAATATAGTCGTTTTTTTTAAAATCATTTTAACTTTATCTCTCATTCTCTCTCTCTCTCTCAACATATTTATGTCGAACTGTTCTCTTCTTATTATTATTATATGTTTCTCTATAACTAAAACCAAATCAATATTTTCTAATAATTTTATGGTTAATGAAATCGAAACTACTACTATAAGTTTGTATTATTTTTTTTTCAATTTTTATTTTTTTCTCATCTGATTTTGGATATTGATAGTCTCTAGATTGTGTTGTTGGTATTACATGAGATCTTTCGATGAGGTCCTATCTCAAATTTAACATTGATTTTATCAAAGACAAATTTTTTCAATTTGAAGTTTTAAATCTGATTGTGTTTTGGTGTTTTTGAATCTTATTTTACTTTTTTATGTTGTATGTTTCTTCTTTATTTTTTCTCTTCTTTTAAACTCCAGAGAAAATTAATGGAGTTAAAACGTAATTGTATTTTTGCGATTTTTCATTTTTATTCTTTGTATATATATATATATATATATATTGTTAAATTCTAGGAAAAAATGCGTGGATAAGAATAATTTATTATGCATTTATGTGTTGCTTCTTATTTCTTATCTTTTTCTTTTTGAAAATTTCAAAGAAAAAAAATGGAGAGTATGATATTGTTTCTATGATTTTTCTTTTGCATCGTTAAGGATATATATACTATATATATATATATATAGATATTTACAATGATATATACAATGACATTGTATTAGTTTGTCGATATTTTATAATGACTTTTAATAATTTGTAAAAAGTGGCTGCTTTTAATAAATTGTTGGATATAAAATAATAGCTCCAGTTACCGATATTAATAATTTCTAATAATTTGTTAAAAAGTGATTTTTCTTTTGTGATTTACAAAATAATAGTTCAAGTTTTGGATATTTTGTAATATTTTTAAATATTTTGTAAAAGATGACTATTTTTTATAGAAGCTATCAGATTATAAACTATTAACTTCGTTATCAATATTTTGTGATATTTTTAAATAAGCTATAAAACATTGTTTTTTTTTTAATAAAAGTTGTAGATTACAAAATAATAGCTCCGATATTTTGTAACACTTTCTAGTATTTTTGTAAAAGGTAATTTTTTTTTTTTTGTAAAAGTTAGCGGTCCACAAAATAATTTCTCCAATTGCTAGTATGTTGTAACATTTTTTAATTTTTTTTATAATACAGCTTTTTTTTTATTTATAATAAGTGCTGTTTACAAAATAATATTGCATATTATTAATACTTTGTAATATTTTCACATATTTTGTAAAAATTATAGTTTCTTAAATGGAAGTTTATAAAATAATAAGTTTGGTCGCTAAAGTTTTATAAAGATTTCTAATTTGTACTCCATACGTTCTACTTTAATAACTCCAAAGAACATTTTATTTTCTTCCATTTGTGCTTATTTAGGACTTTGAAAGTATATTATTATTTTTTAATTTTACCCACATATATATTATTTTTTTTAATATTGGGGGAGGAAAATTTGAACCTGGATCTATTATAAGGTTGTATATGCACTTATCACTAGGCTATGCCTTGGTCTAATTACCATATATTTAGTAGATGCAATTTGTTTTTATATTTATATTTATTTTTCTTTTTTTATCATTATTTTTAATTGTAGTTAAATTAAAATTTTGACCACACACATAACTAAAAGTTATTCATTATATCAGGCATGAAAAAAATGAAATGGAAGTACTACTCTAATGTTGATTCTTTAATATAAGATAAAATTAATATATAAAATTAAATGGGGAGTTTTTAATTTGATAGATCACTTTAAATTATTAGAGAGTAAAAATTAGAGATATAAGCAAAAATAATGTAACACTGAAGGGGATGTGTGTTAATTTAATAGAAGTGAAATTTAGAATATTTTACTTTATATATTTTTAGAAAAACTAACGTGTTCGAGAGTCAATTCTTTCTGGTAAATTCTTGCATAAAAAATACGAAGATGTTGCCCTAATCAAAAAGTTTTGAGAAAGATGGAAGTAAATAACATTATAAAAAGTAGCTTTTTTTTTTTTTTTCATCTTTTTTTTTTTTGAAAACTCATTTTTTTTTTTTTTTTTTTTTAAACTCAAGTAAAAATCAGTAAATTTTACTTGAATTTACTTACAAGTCATGATGTATAAACACTCAACAAACTTAATAGATAATACTTACACCTAATATAAGAGTGGAACGGTCTGAGGAAGACACACGGGACAAACAAGAGTATTCTGACCATTTATTAAGGAAAAGTAAGGACAAAAAAATACAAATAAATTACAGACTGTGACTCAGTTGGCAATGTAGGCTGTGCATGTGGAAAGAGTTTTCAGGTTCAATTCTCGTTAAATACACCTGCAGAAAGGGGCGAAGAGCCTAACTGTGACTAAACCTGAGCTGAATTTAATTATTTTCTGGTAATAAGATCCGGATACCAGTGGTTTATAAAAAAAAAAAAAAAATCCAAATAGGAAAATTTTTTAAAATAACAGTTATTCCATGGCTTGGAATATGGTTCATGGGATATATCGGCGGTAGGCTAATAATTTTTAATTTAAAAATGTAATTGGAAATAAGACACCATAAATTTTTAGAACAAATTTCTTGACTAAAATAAATAAATAAAACTATAATAAAACAGGACAAATTTTTAAAAGTAACAATCAAAAGAAAAGATATATACTATACAAAATTTTCCGTGTTGGAAATACATAATTGGTACTTGATTTGATAATTGTTCTTTCTATTTGCTTTGCTTGGAAACGATGTTGGAAAATGTTGGGCTTCGGTGGCCGTAATGTTCGGCATTCTCACAAAGTATTGTCCCAATAAATTTCTCTTCTTAAATTTTAGTCCCTTTATATGTTAGATAAAAGAATATAAATATCTGACTTGGAAAACGAATGTTTTGGAAAAATTTGTTTGGGGCTTCGGTTGGCCGGATCAATGGTGTGGGGTTTCGGCATTTTCTCACAAAGTAATGGTCCTAATTGTTCTTTCTATTTGCTTTGCTTGGAAACGATGTTGGAAAATGTTGGGCTTCGGTGGCCGTAATGTTCGGCATTCTCACAAAGTATTGTCCCAATAAATTTCTCTTCTTAAATTTTAGTCCCTTTATATGTTAGATAAAAGAATATAAATAATAAAAAATATAATGTAATAACATGTAATATCAATAATTTTAATATACATAACCAACGGTCAATCAGAAGGATTTAGTTAACTTTTTCACACAGCGTTATTTTAATTCCTCCGATCTCTAATGAATAAAAAAATATAATCAACTTAGGTTGATTGGAGAAAATATATGTTGGAAAGCTTTTCCCGACTTGATGCCATACATGCAGAATTGTACACAAAAGAAAAAAAGAAAAGGAAAAAAGAAAAAGAACAAGAAAAAAAAAAAAGGATAATTCATGAATACATGTATTCACCCAATCTGTCAATCCATCAATTTTGTTTGGTTGTCCAATTTAGATGCATGCTGATGATATGGTTCCAAGTATTCACAAATTATAAATAACTGAATACCAAACACACGAATTTATTCATTTATGCATGTTAATTAATGGTTGTACTTCTTACACCTCATATCTATATTTTATATAAATTGGTGTGAATAATGTTTTATAATTTAATATTTTATCACATTAGTCGGGTTGGCCTTCTAACATTGTGTAGAAGATATGAAGAGTGAGAGATATGAAATTTGAATCCTCTGCACCGTAGAAGTTATCACTAATTTAGTGAATATTATTTAAAGTAAGAATGACTACATATCAGATATCTATTTAAAATGCAACATCTTAACCTAACTAGATTGTAAATTAGATAACCGAATCCATTTCAAACCCGTTTCGAAATTCAACTTTAATACCGAACCTGTTCCAAACCCGATTATAATTATATACTTAAATACTTGCACCGTTTAATACCTGTTTAGCATTAAAAATAACTTTTTTTATTTTTCAAAAGTAAAATGTAAGTAAAAATTATAAAATTATTACTTTGACTTAATAAAAAATATATATTATAAATATTAAATATAATTATAGATTTTTCAAAAGTAAAATGTAGTAAAAATATCCATAAAAATTATTACTTTGACTTAAAATAATAAAACATAATAGTACTTATACACTTTAAGCCATAAAGTTATTCTAAATATATAATTATAGGCATAATTATAATGTGTATATATAATTTTTTTTTTTTAGAAAACAATAAAATTAAATATAATTATAGCATTAATTATAATGTGTATATATAATTTTTTTTTTTAGAACAATAATTATTTTAAATTTTTTGGAATATTAATTAAAAGGATAACGGGTAGCGGTACTCGAGTCCTTGAATCCGAATCTAATCTGGATAGTAAAAATACTAGCCAAACATTTACCAAAACTGGTTTATTCACTACCCGAACCCGCCAAAATTGGATCGAATCAGGTCTGCCGGATCGGGTAAAATTGTCACTCTTAATTCAAAGAGAAGGGATATCCTTACTATGTTGTCCACGATGTTATTACCGTCGTTGGAGCTCCAAGTATTTTTTTTTTTTTTAGAAAAAAAACAAAAATCATTTAATACTTCTATTAAATGAAAATACCTTTCATGATTAAATCAATTGATCGGAAATACACTGCATAGACTCATTTGACGAAAGAATGAGCATGTGGTGCAAGAGGTTACAACATATCTAGCAAACTTTCTTAACTTAAAATAGCAGAAACCGATCTTCAAGACCCTAATCTTGAGACTATTCTCTAGAGGGAAATGTTTGATTATTGATCAATGTTGTCTAGTTTTAATTATTGACCAATGTTGATGGCAACTGAAAAATTTAAATAAAGACAATTTTCATTGATTAAATAACATTTTTATTTCCACGAAATTGTGTTCTCAGTGGCCTAACACTTCTAATCTTCCGTATATAAGTTAAAACGTTCTGAGTCAGAGAGTTTCCAAATCCAATCGTCCTTCCTTAGTGTATTTCTTTAAGTAAAATTGGCAACTAGTATATCCCTAATTTTTATTATGGCGTAAGAGCAACTACGACCATAAGGGAAAAGGTCTCACTGATCAAGAAATATGGCGTTCTTGAACCCACAGGAGGAACTTCTCTCTGTTTATTTTGGTGTGCCCTTGGGGTAAAACTATAATTATGCATTTTGAAAAATCTTATAATTATGCATTTGAATCTGTTTTGCAGTTCAATTATCAAGTTATTATCTAATGATTCCTAATTTCTGTTTCTGTCCATAGGTAATTGGGTAAAACTATAATTATGCATTTGAATCTGTTTTGCAGCTCAATTATCAAGTTATTATCTAATGATTCCTAATTTCTGTTTCTGTCCATAGGTAACGTTATATCATTCATGGTGTTCTTGGCGCCAGTGTAAGAGCTTCGAATAAACAAAATTAACATATCATCAATTTAATTAATTACTTTTCTGACATATTAAGTTAAATTTTCAGGCCAACCTTTCACAAAATTTATAAGAAGAAATCATCAGAAGGGTTTCAATCCATACCATATGTGGTTGCACTTATGAGTGCAATATTGCTGTTATATTATGCTCTTCTGAAGAAACATGCATTGCTGATAGTCGGTATCAATGCTTTTGGATGTGCCTTGGAAGTTGCTTACATTATATTGTACCTTATTTATGCACCAAAGAAGGAGAAGGTGATTAATAAATTAATTTCAACACTCTTCATAATAATTACTATATATTTTAAACTTGGAGAATTAAAAAATTGAGTGATGCTAAATAGATCAAATTAAAAGTAACTCTATTCAGGAAATAGCGACGGTCTCTTTCATGTTATACAGAAATTTAATAACAAATCACTTGCAGATGTTTACATTGAAGTTAATCCTTGTCTTCAACATTGGAGCTTTTGGGTTGATGATATTACTGACAATGTTACTGATAAAGGGCTCCCAAAGAGTAAATACTGTTGGGTGGATATGTGCAGCTTTTATTGTTGCTGTATTTGCAGCGCCATTAAGCATAATGGTACTAAATTAATTACTCTAATTAAAATAAAAAAAAATTAATTTTTGTAATACTCGAACTGATTAAAAAATTATTTTGCATTTTACAGATGCGAGTGGTACGAACAAGAAGCAAGCGTTGAATTTATGCCATTCCCATTATCATTGTTCCTCACTCTCTCTGCTACAACTTGGTTCTTATATGGACTTTTTGTAAAGGATTTCTTTATTGCAGTCAGTACTATAACAGTAAATTGAAAAAGAAAAATTCAATTTTTTAAAAATAATTTTCTCAATTTTAATCTTTTATGATTTTCCCATGTGTCAGCTACCAAATGTGCTGGGATTTCTATTTGGCATTGCTCAAATGGCATTGTATATGATATACAAAAATGCGAAAAAAGAGGATAAAGGAGCTACAGAGATCAAAATGAATAAAACTGAGAATTTTTGCCATGAAAATGAGCAGTGCAAGGAGATGAAGTCTGCTATGGCTCATGACTATGAAGTGTACGAACACAATGACTCAAATGAGAATAATGTATGAATCACTTTTGTACCTTTGCGAGCATGAAATTCAATTTTGTTTAAAGTATGAAATTATCGTTGCTCTAATTCCTAAACTTGCAAATCCAATTGAGATCCAAGATGTCAGGCCACTCTCTTTGGTGAATAGCCTATACAAATACAAGTTGCTTACAGAAGTTACAATTTCAGTGGGTAGATTGTAAAAAAAAAGTTGATTTTTAGGAAAATTGTTTATCACTTTCAAGGTCAGAGTGTAAATTGAGTCTTATTTTTTAAATTTAAATTCTATTGGTTAAAAATAAAATAAAAAATTACTCTTATTTTGTAGTGCATCGTATTGTTTCGATCCATTGGATACTTCAGTAAATAAAATAAATAAATAAATTACTAAAAAATAAGAAATCTTTAATAGTGTACAACATAATTATAAATTTAATAAAGTGACAAATTTAATACAATCCATAATTGAGAAGTTTTGTATTTATTAACATTTTTAAATTATAATATTATATATAAGTACAACCATAAAATATAAATTAATAAAGGTGACGAAATTTAATACAAATCCATCAATTGAGAAATTTTTGTAATTTATTAACATTTTTATAATTATAATATTATATACGCAAGAAATATTAATTATTAATAATAATAGAAAAATTTTATCATTATATTTATATTATATATATACTATATATATTACAGATATATTATATATACTGCATTATGTATTTATGTTTATTTACTTTCAGATCAAAGATTATACATAGTATTTACTACACTGTTCATTTATCAAGGATTTGCTATCAAAAATTCTTTATATTCGTGTATTAATGGATGCAGAATTAAATGAAAATATATGTCGGATAACAACTCATATCATTTTGTCACTTAGAGGTACTTCTATAGGCGGAATTATGTTTGTTGGGGAACTAAATACATCGCTTATTGTTCACCTGACGCTTAACCTTGATTTATCTGAGATTCTAGTCCTTTGTTTGCTTGAGACCAGAGTAATATATAGCGGTGTATACGGGCTTTCCAAGCGACGGAACAAATTGAGAAAAAATAATGGACTTGAGAAATTAAGAGAACTCCGAATAATTTTAACGTGGGAAAACTCCCCCAAGTGGGAGTCAGCCAAAAATCCACGGTGCCAAGTGCCAAATGCGATTCAAGAACAAGAAAAATATTCACTTATAAATGCAGCAAATTTGTTACAACACAATTTACAAAATATTATTTTGCTAACTCGACCACGCATCTCAAAACACCCCAAATATTTTATACTCCAAGAGACTTGCCTCTAAATCCTTAATAATTAAAACGCACTCAATGTTTTGGGATTGGTGTGTAGGAAAACCTAAAACATTGCTTGTCCATCTAAATTATACACGCCAAAGTCACCGACTACCTGTACACTTGCTTTGAAGTGCTCCCCCGAATGTGGGAATTAAAAGCAAAAACTAATTTTTTTTTATAAATAATGTTTTTCTTGTTGTTTTCACAAACCTAACAGGCGGCTAAACAAATCTCCACCTTGAAAATAAACATACAAAAAAAGACACACACAACAGTGTCTGCTACCAGATACAATCATAAATTCTTTATCGTCAAAGTAATTATCAAATACTCCACCTAAAAGAGTACGGGCCACTTAATGGAAATCTACTTTACCTGACGTCACAAAATTTTTGCATTCCGGCCAATGTTGGGATCCCGGCAAATAAGTTTATGATGCCACCAACCTCCTCACTGATTAGACTTTTCCGAGTGAGAGAAGTATCAATTTAGTCCATAAACGAACATACTTTTTTTTTTTTCCAACCAACACACTTTCCATCAATCTGTCAACCTTTTCACAAATGCATGACCGCATATTACCGTGGACCAGCTACAAATAATATCTCACCTCTTTCCAATTGAGCATCATTAATACGGGCTAGTTGAGGCAATTAATCCTAAGTTAGACCCACACACTCTCAATTACAGACGAGAACACATCATCTGCTTCCTGTCCGCCATCCAAAGGATGATCACATTGGCACAAACAACGTTAGAGCTTGCGTATAGCGCGTGAATCAAGCTGCCACCTTCGGGCAATCCTTCCCAAAAGTTGTCCCAGTTTGACCACAAAACCCAGCAATACAACCGTTCCGTCATGCCGAGCTTTTTGTTATTGGCTTCTCTTTTAGGAGAGTACCTTATGTACAAGGCACAGATTGGTAAGGCCTTTGACAAAGATAAAAAAAGCTGAATCCTCATATGACTTTTAATTTTTCCATTTGTCAATATCCAGGGTCTTGATCTCTCCTCAGTAAGGAAGCTTACCTAAACCCAAACATCGTGCATCACCCCACTAGCTTTCCTTACCTAACAACCGGATAAAATATTGTCAAGAAAAAGTGTTTTACATGTGCTTCATAGTACAGTCGAAGGAAAGTTGGACAGGATGAGTCGGAGAGCTTTATCCTTCATCTTCGGTTTGGCACTTCCAAGAGTTTTTCTAAATCTAAATGGAACGGCAGTGCCCATTAAGAACACTCGAGATGAAAAACAATGACATGCTAATGGACACATTACCATGCACATTATTTCAAGCGCTATGAAAATTGGCTCCTTTGCGAAATATAAGTCTGTTGGAATAATATTTTTGCCCTGGACTCGTCCACATATTCTGCACCACAACATCATTTGTCGTGGACACAATCCAAGCAACATTACAAGAAATCAGTTTTATTTGCTAGAAAAGCACACATTGCGAATTTTGACTGACCTTCCTCCTGTCGCTTCTTGTGAATATCCAGGCTTCTCTCCCATTCTTCATGCGAGCTATGACTGAGATTTTCTGAACGCTCTCAACAACATCAGCTAAATCTCATTGAAATCAATTAATGTCTTTTTCTTGACAATTACTTTGCCGCTGACTGGTTTAACCCTTCAAAACCCTTATGGGTCAGTCCAAAAGAACTGAATCAACAACTATCGTCTTGAACTTGCAACTTGCCTACATTGCAAAATTTTCAATTTTCCGCGTCGAGATTAGCGTTCAAAATCTCACATCTCAAGCCGACATGCTTACTTGTAGCTGAATAGACATGGAATCCTCAGATAGATATAATAGTGAATTTCTACTCAGTAAATTCCGATCGGCAAAACCGAATTTAGAAAGGATGATGCGAACATAGACTCTAACTAAGACAATATTCCAAGTTGCACACCACTAAATCTCCAAGTTGGACGCAGGGGTCAAAGTGGTCCCACTTAAAAAATCCGGGAGCTTTTGCCGAAGACAGATATGTTACGTGCGACGGTTATTAATCATATTCAAATAATGAAAACTCTTCAATAATGTATCGTCAAGAAGGAGACATTCACTCCACCTGATAACTCAATGCATCAGCCAAAGCATAGAGTCTCCATCACAGCCTTCAAGAATTCTCTCAAAACTTCCATCTCGGCTTCTTAAATAATAAAAAATTTATAAAACAATCTAGTAGATTCATGGATGTGTAAAGATTCAAGGAACAATAAGTCCTGCAACCACAGGAGAGCATTATTCTTAATTAACAATGAAATTTTTAAACACAAAAGCTCCGCCCTAACAAACACACGCTCTGATTTTAACCTACTTTATGTTTATGGAGAAATATCGCTTATTTTTCCCTGCTCCTATCGGATCGAGTGCTTTCAATATCTCAGGAAAAAATTGAGAATAAATATAATTGTACTTGATTGAAATTAATGGAGAACACGAGTTAATTTTTATTTAACGTAGAAAACTCTCCAAGTGTGACCAAAAATCCTGATGGAAACGGCCCGTGCCAAGAGCGACACATGCAGAAAATAATCCACGTGAAATGCGTCAAAATGTGTGTAACAAGCTAAGCGATACGAATTGTACATAAATATGTTATTTTTCTTAAATTGTCACGACACTCAAAGATAATTGCAAAAACAAAGTGTCCCTCCAAAATTTTCAACTCCTAAGACGACTTGCTCTATGATAATCCTGTTCAAATAAAAAAACGCACTCAGTGATTGTGTTAAGTTGTATTTGGTGGTAATGGAAAACCTAAATATTGCTTCCATTTTATAGTCCAAATCACTAACTTCACTTTGCTTATCTATTCCCCGATGAATTGGGATTTTAAAGCAAAAAACACTAATTTTTTTATATATTAACTACCTTCACTTTGCTTATCTCCCCGATGTGGGATTAAGCAAAAACTAATTTTTTTATATATTTTTTTTTCTTTTGTTTTCAACAACGGCGGCTAACAAGTTGATGATGTATTAAGTTTAATTTTATTAATTTTAATTCTATATCAATATTATTCTATATCTATATCTTATCAATGATATTCATTATCAATCATAATTGAATTTTCAATTTTCATAAATTTTATTTTGTTTATACATAAAATAGTACAATCTTAAGTCTAGCCGTCTTCATGTATTTTTAACTTGAAGGTTTAACTTTATTTTTAATGTAATTGTTATTATTTATTTTTAATAGTAGAAAATCATTATTTTTTATAAGAAAATCATCCTTATCTTTTTATTATTAAATGAATATTTTCTTATTATATAATAAAATTAAAATTTATAAATTGTTATAAATCTTTTTTCTTATTTCTAACTTTTTGAATATTTTTATTCAGATTTTATAGAAAGGAATATGAATATTTAAGAAAATCAAATTGTAGTAAACATTCAATCAAACGGTAGTAAATATTCTATCTAATTATCTATTGTTTTATTATTTTTTATACCTTTTTAATTACTGTATTCAATTGTTTTTTACTAAGAATTAAATAAGTATAAACATCAACATTTGTAAATAATAAAAAATTATAAATTAAATGACGAATACCTACCATAAATGATGGAGCTAGGAATTAAAGTTAGGGGGTTAAAAAATTTTAAGAGTTAAGGAGGGAATTAAAAATATTTACTATTTTTAAAAGTGTGAAATAAAAAATTTTTAAAAATTTATGGGGTAAATTTTTTAAAAAATTTTGGTTAGGGGGCGAGGACCACACCTGCCCATCCCTCCGTCACCTGCCCCTGCCTCTGTCGTTGCCTACAATGAGAAGCAATACGTACCAACTTTCTTAAATACCAGTAATTATAATAAAGTGAAATATGGCATTAGATGTAGCGATGTAGCGTCATGAGTTTGCATTCGTTGAATTATGTGAGGTTTTTTGCATTCGTTGAATTATGTGAGGTTTTGTAAATTTTGAATTAGGTGAGATTGGATGCTAAAAGTTATGATGTTATTTTATTTTCTGATATGATTTTTTCAATATTTGAATCTATGTTTATATGATTTTATCTGCTTACAAATTTATGTTTCCAGTACATATTGCTCTTATTAAATTTGTTTTTATTAAAAAAGACGAACTTTTTCATTTAGATTCCAAATGGATGATGTCGTATAAAGTATTTCTCAACAGTCGATTCAATATTAAAGGATTGAAAAGAAAATAACCAGTGCAAAGGCACGAGCTTTCACTTAGTTACACTATATATTTGTGAGACACCAGTAGACTCATCCATTATTTAGAAAAAAAGCCACGTAATATTTTAATAGCAGCCAACGACTTGTAGTGAAAGTGCATTCAAAGTGGGTCATTATGCTTTATGAAATTCCATAACCCAGCTGTTGTAAGCACAACATACAACTTCACAACTGGAAAAACCAGACTTCATTGCTAAGGTCTCATAGTCCTTTTGGGTCCTCTCTTTACCACCAGGAGTTTGAGCAAACATGAACAGGTCTTGCTCAAAAACAATGTGAGAAGAAACAGCATTTTCCGGTGCCAAAGGAAGTATTGATTCCGCAACTATCACTTTGCCCTTACTTGGAAGTGCTTCGTAGCAGTTCTTGAGAAGTTTTAAGCAATACTCATCGCTCCAACCGTGTAGTATCCACTGCAATATATTTTTTGTTTTTAAAAATGAACAGACATATATATTTTTTAATTTTAAATACAATGAAAGACAAACTTATTAATTGATTAATTACCTTCATGAAAATAGCATCTCCCTTTGGGACGCTCACAAACATGTCTCCCGCCACATGCTCCACCCCTGTGATTAAAATAGAAAAAGCTATAGGTGTATGTGCTAGTTTCAAGAATTTAGATGAGATAAAGAGCTGGTATTCTGGATTAAATGATAAGAGATAAAGAGCTGGTATTCTGGATTAAATGATAATCTGGGATTATATTTGCTGGTTAATAATTTGGTATTTGATAGTGCTTATGAAAATTAGAAATTTTTCTGTGTAGAGTTTCTCTTAGAAGGTCATTCCTTCCCTTTTCTTCTTGTTTCTTGTTTTATTTATAAGCCAAACTTTCTACCCGTCATAACATGTTGGAGACTCTGGAGGATATTGTAATAAACTAATCTCAAATAATTCCACAATAATCTAGATCGTGCAAACCACTAGATTCTCTTAGGTTTGCAGCCTTCTAGAGAATTGAAGAATCGATTTAGCGGAAGCAGTACGAAAGGAACGTAAAACTGAATCGTATTCAACTCCTCTGGGGACCAACCGACGACCTTATAATATCCTGTAAGCGTGTAGTACAATTCCCGTTAGTACAATTCCTATTTCGGTCCTTTAAAGAAATAGGAATTATATAATGGTCTCTACACTTAATATCTATAATTAGTTGATACCTCAATAGTCAATTATTCACAATCAAGACCGCATTTAAAATTGACTTTATAATTAGACTGCTGTACATATTTAATTTTACATATTAAGCCCACAATAGAAAATTAAATCCAACAATCTCCCACTTGGGCGACATATGTTAAATAAAATACATACACCAAAATGAGCTCAACAAACGCAGTCATACGAGGTATCCAAAAACAATCTCGTCCATTAATTATATTGATAAAGAGCTGAAGAAACATTCGCCATAGATCTTATGACTAAGTTCATCATCAACTACCTTACCAATACCCCTAAATGACACAGATTCATTATAGAAGTGTAGGATGAAAACTAAATGTAATGTGATCATCATGTTTGTTTCCAACTGGTCACCAACAAAAGTGAGATCAAGCAAAACAATAATAATACAGAAACAATAATAATAATACAGAGTGTAACCATCAACCAAAATGAGTACTCAACAAAATTTCATGATAAAACATATCCAAAACAAAATAGAGCATTCAAAACCATAATGTATACATAAAGAGCAGACTCCCACTAAAACTAGACAGTCTCAAACAAAACGATACCCATATGAGCGGTGTGCTCATGGAAAACTAAAACTTTCGGTATCACTGCCTTTGTAAGCGGATCCGCAATCATAGAGTTTGTTCCAATATGCTCTAAGGATATCTGTCCACTCTGTACCCTCTCCTTCGTAGCCAAGAACTTAATGTCAATGTGTTTTGATCGAGAAGAGCTCCTGTTGTTGTTGGAGAATAAAACGGCTGACCTGCTGTCACAATACAACTTCAGTGGTCTTTCTATTCCACCTACTACACGCAGCCCATTGACAAGGTTTCTCAGCCAAATAGCTTGATTGGATGCCTTATAAGATGCTACAAATTCAGCTTCCATGGTAGAGCATGGTGGAGGTTGCCACTAGAGTTTGTTTCACACTCTTCCAAGAAATAGCACCACCAGCCAATAGAAAAACATAGCCAGATGTGGATTTTCTTCTGTCTTGGCATCCAACGAAATCAGAATCTCCAGCGAAATCAGAATCAGTATACCCAATGATCTCAAGCTGATCTGATCTCCTATATGTGAGCATATGTCCCTTAGTCCTCTGAAGATATCTCATGGCTCTTTTGGCTGCTTTCCAATGATCCATTCCTAGATTGCTGAGATATCTACCTAACATGCCAACTATAAAAGAAATGTCTGGACGAGTACAAACTTTAACATACATAAGACTTCCTATAGCTGACGTATAAGGAACCTTTTGCATTTCCTAAATTTCAAGTTCACTCTTTGGACATTGTTGATTACTAAATTTATCACCTTTTGCAATAGGGGTATCCAATGGTCTTAGAAATTCTGCATACTAAATCTCTTGAGCACTTTATCAAATATAGGCTCTTGTGATAAGCCCAGAATACCTCGAGAACGGTCTCGGATGTATGCTGAACCCTAAACAACAAAAAGAACTTCACCTAAATCTTTCATCTCAAAATGTTTTGAAAGAAAAAACTTTGGTTTTCATGCAGCAGAGACTTTACAATTTAGTAGCAAAGAGATGTTTCATCCACAATACAAGACCAAAAAATAAACCTACTCCCACTGAACTTAAATGGTTACAACACAATTTCAACATTTGCCTCAAAGCCAAACGAGACAATTACTTAGTTGAACTTAAAGTACCATTGACGAGAAGCTCGCTTGAGTCCATAAATGGATTTCTTTAATTTGCATACCAGATGTTTTGGATCTCCAATTACAAAATTTTCTGGTTGCACCATATATATTGTTTCATCAATGTTGCCATTGAGAAACGTAGTCTTAACATCTATTTGATGAAGCTCAAGATCAAGATTTGCAACTAAGTCCATGATTGTCCTAAAAGAATCCTTCGAAGAAACTGGAGAGAAGGTTTCTTTATAGTCAGTCCCTTCCTTTTGAGTAAAGCCTTTTGCTACAAGACGTGCGTTATATCTTTCCACATTACCTTGAGAATCCCTTTTGGTTTTAAATATCCATTTGCAACCAATGGGTTTCTTATTTGCAACCAATGGGTTTCTTTCCTTCAGGTAATTGAACAAGATCCCAAACTTGATTGTCTTGCATAGACTTATACTCTTCGTTCATTGCCTCAATTCACTTATGAGAGTCAGAACTCTGCATAGCATGATAAAAACTAACTGGATCATCATCTATCATGTCTACAGTATCCTCATGTTCCTGAAGAAACACTATATAATCATCTGGAATAGCACACTTCTTCTCTCCCTAGTAGATCTCCTCAAAGGCATTTGAACAGACTCTAATTCTTGAGGTTGTTGAATTTGTTCTTAAGGAAGAATAGCATTGTCTGGAATTGGATCTTGAATAGTGACAGGAGCAACTGGAGTCTGTACGCTATCAGAAACAACAAAAGGAATGAGAACCGAATCATCCTTACTTGGTTCCTCTTTAAAGACAATGTTTCTTTCTTTATTTCTCCCTCCAAAATCAACATCCTCAAAAAATGTTGCAATTCTCGTTTCAAAAAAAAGTTCTGGAAGTAGGATTATAAATTATAAAAACTTGTAACCCTAAGACGCGCTCAGAAATAGCCAACAGGAAGTAGTCGTGCTGATGAGTTTTAGAGTCCATTTTGTTTCATTCGGCTTGTTAAGCCTTGCTCAGACTGGACCACTCCAAACATGAAGATGCTGACTAGGCTTACGTCCAGTCCAAAGTCATAAGGGTTTAAAGCAACTGCTTTAGAATGGAATTCCTAAATTGAGAAGAATAAGCTGCTGTCTTAACGCTTCACCCCACAAGAGGACCTGGTAAAGGTAGAATGACTAACATACTCCTTACAATACTCCATAAGAGTCCATTACGGTCTCTCAGATACCCAATTCATGGCTGGAGTAACCAGGCAATTGTATATGAGGGACAATTCCCACATTCCTGTATGAAAAGCGCAAGGTCCTAGACGTTGTTCGCGTTTGAACCGTCATGTCATATTTACCATAATATTCACCACCACGGTCAGATCGAACAGATTTAATCTTCTTTCCTAGTTGATTTTCAACTTCGGCTTTATAAGATTTAAACAGGTCCAAAGACTCAGATTTTTCATGAATGAGATATAAGTAACCATAACGAGAATAGTCATCAATGAATGATATAAAATATCTTTGGCCATTTCTAGCTGCAATATGGAATGGACCACAAATATTTGTATGAATCAGTTCTAAAACATTGGATGACCGAATGGCACCTAGTCTCTTTTGTTTAGTCTGTTTTCCTTTAATACACTCAATACAATTTTAATACAACTCAATACAAGAATGCCAAACCTTGTGTAATCAGTGTAATCTAAGATACCATCAAGATTAACAAGATGTCAATCTTGATTTGGATACATGACCCAAACGTCTATGGCCAAAGTTACACGCTGAGTTATCAATTATTCAACTTCTTTTGGTAACCCCCCCCCCCCCCCCCCTACCCCCCCCCCCCCCCCCCCGCCCTCTTGTAGTGAACATGCAAAGGATTCATGGATAAACTAATCAATTGCTAAACATATATAGATTATCACATTCCATATCAAGCAACCAGTACCCAAAACTTTTGAAAAATTCCAATAGATAAATAGTCTGTCTCCAAAAGAACAATGAAAACCAGATTTGTCCAAAAAGGAAACAGAAATCAAATTCCTTCTAAAAGAGGGAATAACAAAAGTATCTATGAGATCCAAAAAATAACCAGTACTTAAACATAATCTAAAATGTCCAATTGCCTCTACTTCAACCGGATTGCCATTTCCCACATAGACGTATTTTTCACCGTCAGTTGGCTTTCTGTGGTTGAGGCAGCCCTGCAATGAAACACTTATATGAGCGGTAGCACCAGAATCCATCCAATAAGTGTTTTTAGGAGCTGAAGTTAAATTAACTTCACAATTTAAATTAATCACAACAGACCTAAAACAAGGTACTTACCCCTCTTTGCAAGCCAATTAGCAAATTTAGGACAGTCCTTTCTCAAGTGATCCGTCTTTCCACAAAAGAAGCATTTTGGCACATAAGGCTTCTTTTGTACTGGATCTACAGCAGTAGCAACAGCAGGTTTCTCAATAGCCTTTTCAACAGTCTTTGCAGAAGGCCTCTTTCTTTTCTTGTTCTTGCCCTTCTCAGCTGAAGAAACAAAATGAGCACTCTCTCTTTTGTTAGAATTCATCTTTTCCTCCTTCCTCCTCATCAACACAATGAGAAATGAGCTCGTTAAGAGTCCATTTATTCGGCTGACAATTATAGGAAGTCCTAATTTGTCCATACTGAGAAGGAAGAGAATTCATAACCAAATGGACTAAAAGGTCATCTGGTAAAGCCATACCCAGCACCTTCAGTCTCTTTGCAATCTGAGACATGCTAAGAATATGCTCCCGAGCACCACCATTGCCAGCAAACTTCATGGAGGTTAATTTTCCTAAAAGTGTTCTCACTTCGGCT